GGTCGTGTTCTTCAATATCTGCACATAACAATAGAAAGTTCATACGAACATTTATCATGCACAATCAAATCCCTTGCTAGCCACTTCTCCACACAATACAGAAAAAATTGTGAACATGCTTGGGCGGAAGCTCAAAACCGACCAAGAGTCCATTGGCCCAACCCAAACCCACCTGATCCCTAGTTACCTTACTACCAACCCTTAACAAAACGGATTTTGCACAAAAGAGGAAGCTAGGGCACGGACAAGAGATCACATTTATTCATTCCTAACGCACCCAAAACCAAAACCAAATAAAATATCAGCCACATAGTGGGAGTTGTCAAGTGGGCTCCCCCAACACACCCTATTAATGATATGTTGGTGGCCTTTCAATTCTTTCTAAGATAAAATATCTGATACCATAACCTAGCTCTGATTATAATGTTCCCTCATCCCTTCACAATATATCCAATTATTCTTGAAACCCATCAATTGGGTTTTTCAAAATTCTGCAGCCTGCAATAATACGCTAATCTAATATTGATAATGATAAGTGCAGTGGCATGATAGAGTTGATTAGCTTTGTTACCTGTGACACCCAGGATCTTCGGTACAAAATGTAATTATGAGTAATTTATAAATGTCGTGTCAATACTTTATCTGACTCAAGCATTACTTTAATCATGTCTATGAATTTAGAGGGATAAAATGCATAATTGGTGTGACTTGAGATAAGGTGGAAAGAACATTACTTGTCTAAGCATCTGATTCTCATTCTGAAATGTCGAAAGCCTCTCCTCAAGCTCAGAGTTCTTCTTCTCCAAGTCTTTAACTCTAGTTTCCAGGTCATTCAAGTAGGCCTTTTTCCTCTCCCTTGCTTGCTGCGCTGAAACTCTGTTCCTCAACAACCTTCACTCCACGCAAGACACAAAGAAAACTGTCACACAGAAAATGCCATTGGCCCACCTAAAGCAAAATGGACCCACTACGCTCCAAACCTTACCTCTTTAGGCGCTTGTTTTCCTTGTCAGCTGGGCTCCTACCCCTCTTCCTCTGACCCTCACCGGATGGCTGAACCCGATTCGGACCGCCTACCGAACCGGCATCTCCACCTGCTGCCGATGCTCCAGCTGCTTCCCCACCGATCTCTGGCACTCTCCGGATCTCTTCATCACTCTCCATACCTAGTAATTTAAAGAAGGAAAACGAAACAACCTCTTTTTCAGAAGAAAATCCAGAGACCAATGTAATGAATTAAAATGGCGTTGATCTAGGAGAATGAAATTTTCTCAGAAACAGTGATTCTTAAATTCTCGAGGAGAATAAGAAGACCCATTACAGAAAATTCAAAACAATCCAATAGCCACATAAAAAAAAAATACCTTTTAGAGAAAAAACGAATTTCAAAAAAATTTTAATGCTTAGCTGACGGAAAACAAGGGAGAAAAGGGGGAAAAAAACGTTACCTTCTTTGACTTCAACTTGAAGAGCAGAGCTGGAGGATCTCTCACTACTAGATGGCAGAGAACTGGCCGCTATGGAACTTGTTGCCTGTTCTTGCATTTTCTCAGTTTCCAAACAGAGAAAGAGTTAAAGAGAAAGGGAATTTCTCTGGGCTCTAGAGAGAAAGAAAAGAGCGGGACAATAATGTTACAGTGGGTAAATCTGACAGGGAGAGTTTCAGGAGGAATCAGAGCCGTTAGATTTTGATGGGATCCAACGGTTTGCAGTCGGTGAGCGTGGATGCGTAGGAGCCAGGAGCAGTTTCCTGAATCAAAGGTTTTGCTGCAAGTAACGTGGAGATACAAAATCCGTTAGATTGGATTTGATCTGACGGATAGGATGAAGTGGGGGAAATAATGCAGTGCAATGAATTTGGAGGTGGGACCATATCGTGCGCTGGGTTCCAGCGTTCTGTTTCTCCAGTTCTGAGAAAGCTGGCACGTGAGAACACCATTGGCTAGAGATATTTTTTTTTTTTTGTCTTGAGATTCAACAAATATGGTAAGAATTAATTAGCACCTGATTTTCTGTGCAGACTGAATTGTAATTAGTGTAATCAGTTTAAATGTGCACTTTTATTAGTATATTATTGATTTTTTTTAATATGTTACAATTTGTGAGAGAAAGATTTTTTTTTAAAGAATTAATAGTGTTTGAAACCTAATCAATTAATATAAATATCCTAAAATTTTAGAATAAATTACTTGCATTCGAAAGATCTGATTTAAAATATTATTGATTTAAATTCTTCTATTATTTGAAATTTGTATTTGTTCGGAAAGGTACGAATTAATGAGGTTTGGGTGGAGGTAGAAACCCAGAAAAATTTAAAAATAAAATTTAATTCTTAGTTATAATATTTATTTTTTTTACATTTGTAATTATTTACTGCATCAATTGGAAGAGGGGGAAAAAGGATTCCGTGAGGTTCGAACAATTTATAATATTTATAGGGTCAATTGAGGGAAGGGAAAAAGGGATTCTGTGAGGTTCGAACGTGCAACTTACCGGAAGTGAACAACTTTAACCCAAGGCTCAATACCATTGGGT